ATCCCAAAGTAAGGAGTGACTTTAAAACATTTACTCCGCTCCTGTGTTTTCAGGTTCAGAATGTCAGTTGTCTTTAAAGAGACAAGAAAGTACTATAAGTTCCTCTAGTGACCTAATCTAGAATCTGATTATCACATACATGTATAAATAGTCTATTGGTACAATGTAAGTCCATCCACTCAAATTCTCTCAGCCTATGGAGGAAACAGCTGTTCCTATGGGTTTGTTCGGTTGGTTGGTTGGTTGGATGATCCTTTCAAAGATTCAATTATCCCATACACATTGATTGCCCACACTGAATAAAATACTAAAGTGGATACACCTTGAGGGGTGCATGTCTGTTGGGGAGACAGGTGTGCAAGTAACAGTGATAAAGTGATATGAACACCATAATAAAGGCATCTTTAAACTGCTATGGTCTTGCAGAGGAGACAAACAGATTCTGCAAGATCAAGAAATATTTCACAGAGGAGATGATAACTGAGTGGGGCCTTGGAGGCAGTAAGATTTTGTTAATGGGGCAAGGAGAGTTGTTCAGATAAAGGTAACAGCATGAGCGATGAAAGGAGGGAGAGGAAAATGTAGGCAGTTTTCAAAGCACCAGGCAGTGCACTGTGGTTGTGCCTATAATGGGATGGTGGTGGCTGAGGAAGGTGTGGGCAGGTGGTGAAGCCAGAAGGATTTCAGACTTGGGTGATACTATAGGTCGTGAGACTGCTGTTGCTGTTATTTAGGCCTTCATTATTTTTCCCTCAGACAGTAGTTTTAAAAAATATTTTTAGTAGTGGAATCCTTTTTTGAAACATTTTACGACCATATCCAAATTATAAACATGAGGTGATTTTTTTTTTTAAGTAAAAATGTATTTTTTGTAAGCACAGTGGAGGTGAGAAAAAGTGTTTTTGTCCCTGAATGGAGCCAACCTGAGAGACCCTTCTCACCGTGGGAGCTAGCCCATTCCCGCAGTCTGTGTGGTTTGGCAATGACGTGGTGGTGGAGGCCTGTGAGTGGGCACTGTGGTAATGAGAGAGGCTGTAAAACCCTGGAGTGCGTCCCCAGGAGAGTGACCTTACGAGGAAAGTTCTGGGAAACAAACCACAGGGAGACTTTACAGGAATTTTTGGTTGAGCCCACAGGCAGGCACATGAGGAAAAGAGATGTAATTATAGTTTGAAAGTCTATGAAAAGATACAATGAATGACATGCAATAGCTGTTCTAAGTTTCTTCTTCCTGTAGGACAGGAAGAAATGGGTTTTTATGCATTCATTCAGCAGATATTTATTGAGTGCCAGCTGTGAGCTTGGCTCTATACTCAGTGCAGGGAATACGGTGGTTAGCAAAATAGTCAGGATTCCTCCTGCTAAGGAACTCATGGAAGAAGACTGACAGTAAGCAAATAATTGCAGAAATGCATAATTAAAAATCATGGGGAGTGCTATAAATGATAAGTACAGGGAGTCTCATTTAGACTGGAAGACTGTGGAAGTTAAGAGATGTGAGAGCCAAGTTGAGGCAAGGTAAGACCTATCCAGGCAAAGACTGGGGTAGGGGAGAGTGTCAGGCAAAGGTAGTAGCTGAGAAGAGTCTGGCATTTAGGTGGGGAACTAAAAGATGTTCTGTGTGACTGGCGCTCCAAGAGGGAAAGGGCAGGAAGTGTACTTAGAGGAGGCAGGAGAAAAATCATGCTGGGCCTTGTAGGTCCTAGTAAGAACTTAGATTTTATCCTACATGCAGTGGGAAGCCATTGAAGTGTGTTTAGCAGGAAATGACAGGATCTGGCGTAAAACAATTCAGACTGCTCCGTGGAGAAAGGACTTGTGAAGTCAAGAGTGGAAGTGGGGCAATTAGGTTTTTGCAGTAATTAAGGTGAGAGATGGATAGCAATGGAGGTGGAGAAAAATGGACAGGTAAAAGGAATATTTTGGAAGTAGAATTGTTTGGAGTTGGTAAGTGGATTGGATGTGGGAAGAAAGAGGTAGGGAGATTGGAAGATGTCTTCCAGGTTTCTGGCACACGTATGTATATGCACCTCTCAACAGATACAGACAGCATAGGCTGTAAAATCCTCGTCTTTCAGGAAAGGTCAAGTAGGATTGATCTGAATCCAGCCTTGCAGAGGCAGCAGAGGGATTCAGCTGTCCTCTGGCTCTGTCCAGTTCAGGGAGCTCATCACAATAGCATCACCCAAGAAGGGATTCCAGTTCTTCCACAATGGGGTCCTTACTTTGCCCCTTCGCCCAAGGAAAAGGTCCTAAGGAACTCTATAACTCCCGCATACCACAAGGGGGAGCATGGCCTGCATTCTGTGTCTAGTTCTGAGGGTGATTTAAGTTTGGATTGCTTCAGTGACTGACCTGTGTCAGCTTTAGTACTCAGCCCTGACCCTGGCTTCTCATACTTTTTAAAAGAATGCTTGTAAGGTGGTAAGTGTTCAATAAATGCTAGTTGGTGTTAATATTATACTGTGAATATTATCTTATTATTGAAATGAGTGGGATCACCTCTTCTTTCTCAGTATGGAGACTGGGCAAATGGAATGTGCATTTTGAGAATCAGGAGAAGAGCAAAGAGACGTCTGCTAGGCATGAGAAGTGGGAGAAGTTTGGTGATTTGATGGTGCTGCATTTGCCCTTCCATCTTGTTTTCTTTTGTAGATTCAGGGCACTAGGGTGTAGGAGGGATTCCTGAGCTGGGTCTTGGGTGAGGTTGGGCATTTATCATGGGTGATTGGGTACAGCCCCTTTGAAGCTCTGATTGCTTCACTAGAGCAATAGTGCCCACCATTTAGGCTTTGTGCCATCCTGTCATTTCCTTTTGGATTTTGTAACACTTCTCCTACCTTCACTTCTGGCAGGCATATCTCTGTTTACCATTTAAAGTCAATCAAAATCTTGCGCTCCCGCCGAGGGTTCGGATCCCATATAGAGACTGGTCCGCTCACTGGTTGAGCACGGTGCGGGCGCGACACCGAGGGTTGTGATCCCGTTACCGGTCACGAAAAAAGACAAAAAGGAAAAAAAAAAGATACCATAAAGTCAATCAAAATCTTGTTTTGAGAATTTTGCAATATACTGGAGGTTAACAAAAAACACAAAGATTATGCAAGGGATCACTACATTAAAGTTTCCATCAGGACCTCTCTTGCACTGTTTTGGGGAGCAACATTGAAAACATTGAGCCTCAGTGTCCTTCCTCATCCTAGGGGGATATCAACTGCCCAAGTGTTTTTTGTTTGCTTGTTTGTTTTTGGTGAGGAGCGGCTGAGATGAGTGAAGTTCTTAGCTCAGTGTCTGACTTGAGAGTGCTTTCACATAAAGTATCTATTTTGATGCTCATCCCATCCCTGTCAGTAGGCTCTATAGGTGGAAACTGGGAGGTCAGGTGACTTGCCCGAGGGCATATGGCCATTTAGTGGTGGAGTCGGGCACTGCCAATGTCTTCTGACCCCTGCTCCACCTGGTGCTATTGCATCTACCTTGCTTAATGTACACAAGAGAGTTGAAAGGTGTGGGTACTATTTCTAGATCTCTTATTTCCTGGTTCTGTGACCTGGGGCAAGTAATTTTACCTCTGTTTTAGATTTTTTAAAAAAAAAATCTGTTAAATTAGTATAATAATACCAGTCCTAACTTTCAGGTCTGTCATGTTGAACAGATGAGCCAAGATTTGTGAGGGAATTTTGGAAAAGTATAAGATATAGTGATAGGGTATGACTTTTTTCTCCAGTCTTTTCATCAGGATGTTCTACATCTCATAGATGCTATCATAAAATCTTTAGGCTAAAAGGATGGTAGTCATGCCTACCTGACCATGACTCAGAATGATCTTCCACCTTCCTCTGAGAACCCAGTTTTGTATCTCATAACTGGTTATCAAAATATTGCGAGTTTTCAAGAACAGGTGGCAGGTGTACTTTAGTGGAAAGGGGGTACTTAACTAGTCTCTACTTTTAGTTCTTTGCCTAACTAGCTCTGTAACTGTGGATCAAACATTTGATCTCTCTGAGCCTCAGTTTTCCCATATATAAAATGGTCATAAAATACCTGTCCAGTATATTTCAGAAGGTTCTGAGGAAAAACAAAATAATACATGTAAAAGAATTTTACAAAACAGAAATGTAAACGGGGGAACTAAACTTAGAGAGGCACTGTGCTAGCTTTTGGACAGCAACGATGTTATTACTGACTGTGAGGGCCGCTTACATGGAGCCTGGGCTTTAGCTGCAGGCCCTGAGCAGGGCAAAGAGAACGAGGTTGTGTTTGTATTATGTTTGTTGCCTGGGCTGTGACTCTGGACCTGCCCAGGACTCTTATTGGTCCTGACCTAGCGTCTTTCTTCTCCATTGCAGGAAGATGAGAGACTGCTTAGGCACCAGCACTAGTACCATGGGTCCCTGCACTGGTTAAAGCCATCGCTGCCACTTGGACAGGCAGCAAGGTAAGTAGAGAGGCCAGCCCAGGCGAGCTCCTGGGATGTGAGTGCGTTTCCACCCCAACTGCTGCCCGGGAAATCCCAAGTGCATAAACAAGTCAAGACAGTGCATCGGGTCCCTCCTACCCGTGCTCCACGACCCAGAGGTAGAGCTTGCTTCTCCTCCAAGCCCTCCAGCTAGCTCCCTCCCCCCTCTCAGGATTCTTCCAAGTTATAAAAAAATGAGACACTGGAGGGGAGGAAAACAAGTCTGCTCCCTGTCTTCTCCCTTCTCCCCACTGAGCTGTTCGAGCAAGTTCCCAGGAACAGTCCATAGCCCCTGTTTGACTGGAAGGGAGGTAGGAGGAGTGGATGAAATGCTGCAAAAACTAAGCTGATCAAAAGACGGAGCTGTTTCATGAAAGCCTCCCAGAACTGAGGGGGAGAGAGACTGTGTGTGAGTGTGTCTGTGTGTGAGGAGGAGACTCTGTACGTATGTGTGAGAGGCTGTGTTAGAGACTGTGTGTCTGTGTGTGTGAGCCCCTGTATGTGAGTGTGCGCGCGCCGTAGACAGCGCTAGAGCGGGCGCCGTGCGCGCCGCCGCCGCCAGCGAGGACAGGGTCTCCATGACAACCGGCCTGGCCGGCTCGCTGAGCTCTCTGCTCACTTGGTTGGAAGGAGCGCCACGAAAGGTCAGAGGAAGGAGCTGTGGGAAGCTCGCAGCAGGTATTGGAGCTTAAGCGAGTGGATTTGGGGGCCTCGGGCTCCCTGACCGGCTGTGGTGTGAGCTCGACTCTGCCGAGAATGGAGTGGGCAGGACAGCACCGGGACTTGCAGGTAAGGGCAGCTCCGATTTGGGGGCCTCGGGCTCCCTGACCGGCTGTGGTGTGAGCTCGACTCTGCCGAGAATGGAGGGGGCAGGACAGCACCGGGACTTGCAGGTAAGGGCAGCTCCGGGCTGAGTGCTTCCCCTCCTTTCCTGGCGCTGGTCTTAGGCCGCTTTCTGGAAGGCAGGCGAGTGTCTGTACTCTCTGCTCAGGGTTTGGGGCTCAGCTCCGGGCTGAGTGCTTCCCCTCCTTTCCTGGCGCTGGTCTTAGGCCGCTTTCTGGAAGGCAGGCGAGTGTCTGTACTCTCTGCTCAGGGTTTGGGGCTCAGGAATGATGTCATGCTCCAACAGTTGGATTCTATTAGCTTAAGGAGGAGGGAAACAGCCAATTCTCTTGACTTTGCAAATCTGGCTGATCTCACTCTTGCTGAATCTGAGGTGTTTAGGCTTCACTCTAGAAAGCATCATTTTACTTTTATTTAGCACAAAGGCACCGGGTATTTTTACGGGAAGAATCTTTTATATTAAAAAAATGAGTTATCATCTCTCCCTCATTTTGTTTGTAGTTCTTACATGGAAACTGCAGTGTCTTTTGAGTAGCTTGTTTCCTTCTAGTGAACACTGTCTCTTGGTGCTGCTATGTCTGACCTGTAATAATTAAAAAAAAAAAAAAAGCTAATTAAGCTCAGCCAGGAGCCTGTGGTGAGTTCCAAGTCCCTCTGAAGCAGTCATTAGGGCAGAGGGACTGTCACAGGGATATCTGAGCTGGGGTCTCTACCAGGTAGCTTGGTAAAAAGCAAGCTGTCCTCCTCATTAATAAGGTGGATCACAGGCTTTCCTAAGGTGGGGGAGGGGCTGTCCTGCAGTTGATGGGCCTGCAGAGAGGTTTCTCATCCACAGGTTTCAGAGTGAGCTCTCAGCAGCAGCTGCTAGGAGCTAGGAGACATGAGGCACTGTGGTTGTGCTGGGTGGATTCCTTTGGTTAATATTTTAACCAAATCTCAGGATGTGCAGTGTCTGTGCTGTGCACTTCTACTTTGATTGTCCTAAATTTTGGTAAAATTTGTTCTGACCTAGAGGAGTGGTGTATGGTGAGCTCAGTGTGGCCTACAATAGGAGACCCCAGAAAGGCAGTTTTATAGGTGATGGAGTAGTTAGGCTGTCAGTAATATTATTAGGAGGATGTATGCAGAGGACATTCCCTGCAGGGGAGACCCGTCCTGAGATGTGCTGCCATTTCAGCCATATTATATCTTAAACTTACTCCTTCGCCTCAGGGAACTTTTTCTCTGTGGGATGAGAGAACAGCTGCTGTCCTGGCTCTTCGGTTTTTCTTCTTGAACTTTCTGAACAGAATGTCTTTTGTGTTCTGGCACACAATGAGGGGGCCTTCTGATTAACTTTGGTTCAGCTTGCCAATGCAAGCACTGGCCAAGTCCCCAATTCTGGCTCCCTGAATGCGTCCGTGTATGTATCAGCATTGTGGTCTGAGGGTCCAACAAGGATGAACTCAATAGCCCTGGACCTCAGATGGGCCACTTCTAAAGTTACTCTTCCTTTTACTACACTCCAGGGATCCTCTTTTGTTGAAGCCCATGTGTTACTGGAGGGATGTGTCATAGCACTGTTGGTTGGGATGAAAGGTGGGGGATGTGAAGGGGAGGCCTCTTTGAGCAGTAGGCCCCTCAGTAGGCAATGTAAATCCAGAATTCAGGTCTTCTCCTCTACTCATGTGGGTGTGGTTGGGGCTCCTCCAATTTTACTATCCCTACATGGTGTGAAGAGGACTAGCAGAGACCCAGTTGCAAGAGCTGGTGCTCTTTTTTTTTGGTATAGCAGAAAGAATAATGGATTTGGGGTTAGTAGACCTCAGTTCATGACCAGATTCTGCTACTTGCAAGCTGGGCAGCTGTGGGTAAGTCCCTTAGCTAATACTGTATGATCTTCAGATTATTAGCTGTGATATGGAGATAATGATAATACTTACTTCACAGGACTATTGGGAGGAGCAAATGAGATAATTTCCATGAAAGTAGTTTTAAACAAGTCCTATATAATGTAACATGTTATGAATCGAAGCTTGAGGAATGGCCCAACTCTCTTCTGGAAAGTCACTTTGCCCCCCCCCCCCCATTTATAAAGTCCTTTTTCTCTTCTGCATTTATAAATAAAAATGAGAAAAACCTTAAAGGACTTCTTTAAGATGTTTAAGAAAACAAATAGTGCTTTCTTTGGGTTGAGAAGTTTAGTACGAGTGATGTTCGCTATAGACTTTGAGCCTTATAAATGATCCTTCAGAGATGAAGCTTTCCTTAGGTCACCCAATTCATGTGTTATAGTATAGAGGAAGGGGATTCTAAGAGAACCTTTGCTTTTCCAGTGTCCCATGGCCGCCTGGTAGTCATGGTATGCATTTTGGTAGCTGGAAAAGAGGCTGCTGGGTGCCAGGCCTGGTTACTTCATGCTGCTAGGTTCTTCTGGGGAAACTGTTTTGAGTGGGTAGAGGGTCCTTTCTCCTAGGTTCTGGGATTGAAAGGCAGAGTTCTAACAGGTAGAATGTGTTATTGCTCTGAAATGCTCCGTGGGGGTTGGGCAGCTCTTTCAGGAACCTGTAAGCTTAGTGGGAAACAAAAAAGAAAGAAACAAGGAAATGGGAATTCCAAGGGCAGAGATACTTGATATGCTGTGGGACTGTGCCAAGGAATGGATAGCAAGGGAGGGGAAACTCTGGGCAAGGCCATCCCAGTCTGTCCTCTGTGAATCTGTGGGCATATGGCATTCTAGACACTCCACCCACTGCCTCAGCCTTCACTGTGGGACAGGGGAAAACCTGTCTGCCATGCCCCCGAGTGGTGTCTGGGAAGAAGCCCTTGAGCAGATCCAGAGTAGGCAGTTTTTAATTTTTTTTTTTTTTTTAACAACAGAGCTCTCCTTCCAGGTGAGTCACGTCTCAGCAGCCTCCAAGGCCTGAAGGAGAAATTGTCCACAGTTTAGACTGGGGCTGCAGCTGTTCCCTGCTCCCTATCAGACCAGCTTCCCAGAGCTGAGTCACAAATTGGATCCCTCTATCAGTGTTCCTTAAGGATTAAAAAGTAACATTCTTGTTCTCACTCCCTCTCTCCTCCTTTCTATACTCCCCTCCCTGTACACTCTCCCCCTGGGCTCCCTCTGTCTAAAGTTAGAATAATCAGTCACCCAAGGAAGTTGAAACTTTGAAATACCTTAGAGAACAGGCCCAGGGCATCCTCAATTCTGCTGGCTCAACTCCTTTTTCCTGGAATGAAGGGCTGGGTATACAGTTTCAGGGGGGCACCCCAGACTCCAAGTATCATGGCTACACTGCTGGCCTTGGAACTGAGAGGCTGTGCCTCACTCCCCACTTCATCTAATTCTAAGAACTACTTTAGGGAAGTCACCCTGGCACCTGAGGGAGGTGGGAAGGTCTGAGTCTTGGGGCTTCCAAAGCACCTCCCTGTGTGGCAAGTGGGACTTGAAGGACTGAAGCACATGTCTTCCTTCCTGTCGCTTCTCTTAGCTATTAGCTGTCACTGCCCTGGTGAATCCTGATATCCACTGTTGGGCCCAGGAGAGTTTGCTTAGACAGCCAAGCAAACGGAATACATATCTGAGTCTGGAGGAGGCCATGCAGCAGCCATTCAGAGCTCTGGCTTGGCCTTTCTTCTGTTCCTCTACATGGGCTTGGGAGAAAGGTATGCTTAGGGCAGACTGTGGGGAGGCGAAGGGAAATCTGCAGGCAGATAATCGAGTTCTTTGAGTTAGAGGCACCATGGAAAGTGGAGAAAAGGCCAGGAGAGCATGAAAGAGAGACAGAGAGAAAAAAAAAACAACAACCATCTGGCATAGTCTGCAGAAATTTCTCTCTTTTTATTTTTATTTTTATTTTTTTAAAAAAGATGACTGGTGGGGCTGGCCCGGTGGCGCACTGTTACAGTACGCCACTTGGGAGCTTGGCGGTGCTCCCGCCGAGGGTTCGGATCCCACATACACACCGGTTCCGGCTCACTGGCTGAGCGAGGTGCGGGCGCAGCACCGAGGGTTGCGATCCCGTTGCCGGTCCCGGCCCGGTACGGGCGTGACACTGAGGGTTGCGATCCGTTGCCGGACACAAAAAAAGACAAAAAGGAAAAAAAAAAAGATGACTGGTAGGGGATCCCAACCCTTGACTTAGTGTTGTCAGCACCATGCTCTCCCAAGTGAACTAACCGGCCATCCCTATGTAGGGATCTGAACCCATGGCTTTGGTGTTATCGGCACCACACACTCCCAAGTGAGCCATGGGGCTGGCCTAGAAATTTCTCTTTATTTTTATTTTTTTAAAAGATGACCGGTAAGGGGATCTCAACCCTTGGCTTGGTGTTGTCAGCACCACGCTCAGCCAGTGAGCTAACCGGCCATCCCTATATAGGATCTGAACCAGTGGCCTTGGTGTTATCAGCACCGCACTCTCCCAAGTGAGCCACGGGCCGGCCCTAGAAATTTCTCTATAAAGTTTGTGAGAAAACTTGCATCAGTGTGTGCCTTCTTCTGGAGGTGGAGAGGGAAACTGCATCTATTTTATGCTTGAGGGGAGGCACTATGTGCATCTGTCCCAGTAGGTGGGTGGGGGAAAATGCTAGGCGCGTCTCTCTTAGGGGAACATGCCGCAAAATATCATGCTGGTAGAAAAAACTTAGAGTGTCTATTTCCAGCTGAAGGCCCTAGAAAACTCTCCCTTGTGTGTGTGTGTGTGTGTGTGTGTGTGTGTGTGTGTGTGTGTGTGTGTTTGTGTGTGTGTTTTGAGGGGAGAAGAGGGTGTTAAATGAGTCTAGACTATCTCATTGAAGAATTTCCCTTCTCTAATATTCTTTGGCTCTGATATAATAGATATACTGTTGTTGGGGGATTGTTGAAACTATCACAATACTCTTCTCATCTAAAAACTGCCTGAATGTTAGATTTCACTGTCCCTATAAGAGGATGAATTACATGCAATTAGGGTCTGAAGCCTTCT